TAGATAGATAGATTGATGATAGATAGATAGATAGATAGATAGATAGATAGATAGATAGATAGATAGATAGATAGATAGATAGATAGATAGATAGATAGATAGATAGATAGATAGATAGATAGATAGATAGATAGATAGATAGATAGATAGATAGATAGATAGATAGATAGACAGACAGACAGACAGACAGACAGACAGACAGACAGACAGACAGAGGTGAGGGATCAGACAAAGAGCAGCCCGAAGACCTCTTATGATGAATTATATAAATGGAAACAGTGTTCCCTTGTCTGGACGTGGGTCACCGGGGCCCCCCTCTGGAGCCAGGCCTGGAGGTAGGGCACGTTGGCGAGCACCTGGTGGCCGGGCTTTCACCCATGGAGCCCGGCTGGGCACAGCCCGAAGAGGAAACGTGGGTCGCCCTTCCTGTGGGCTCACCACTAGTGGGAGGGGTCAAAGGGGTTGGGTGCAGTGTGTGACGGGTGGTAGTCGAGGGCAGGGACCTTAGCGGTTTGATCCTCGGCTACAGAAGCTGGTTCTTGGCACATGGAATATCACCTCTCTGGGGGGGGGAAGGAGCCTGAGTTGGTGTGTGAGGTTGAGAGGTTCCTACTAGATATAGTCGGACTCACCTCAACGCATGGCTCTGGCTCTGGAACTAGTTTCCTTGAGAGGGGTTGGACTTTCTACCACTCTGGAGTTGCTCGCACTGAGAGGCGCCGAGCAGGGGTGGGCATACTAGTTGCCCCCCATCTTGGTGCCTTTACATTGGGGTTTAACCCAGTGAATGAGAGGGTAGCCTCCCTCCGCCTACGTGTGGGGGGACGGGTTCTGACTGTGGTCTGTGCTTATGCACCAAACTACAGTTCAAACTACCCACCCTTTTTGGAGACCTTGGAGGGGGTGCTGGAGAGCGCTCCGTCTGGTGACTCCCTTGTTCTGCTGGGGGACTTTAACGCTCACGTGGGCAACGACAGTGAGACCTGGAGAAGTGTGGTTGGGAGGAACCGGCCCCCACGATCTGAATTTGAGTGGTGTTTTGTTATAGGACTTCTGTGCCAGTCATGAATTGTCCATAATGAACACCATGTTCAGACATACAGGTGTCCATATGTGCTCTTGGCACCAGGATACCTTAGGCCGCAGCTCAATGATAGACTCTGTTGTTGTTTCATCTGACCTGCAGCAGCATGTCTTGGACACTCGGGTGAAGAGAGGGTCGGAGCTGTCAACTGACCACTACCTGGTGGTGAGTTGGCTCAGATGGTGGGGGAGGATGCCGGTCAGACCAGGCAGGCCCAAACGTATCACGAGGGTCTGCTGGGAACATCTGGCAGAGTCTCCTGTCAGAAGGAGCTTCAATTTCCACCTCCGACAGAACTTCCAAAATGTTCCGAGGGAAGCGGGGGACATTGAGTCTGAATGGACCCTGTTCCGTGCCTCCACTGTTGAGGTGGCCGACCGGAGCTGTGGTCGCAGGATCGTTGGTGCCTGTAGTGGTGGCAACCTGCTTTTTGCAGATGATGTGGTCCTGTTGGCTTCATCAGAACGTGATCTTCAGCTTTCGCTGGAGAGGTTTGCGGCCGAGTGTGAAGCAGCTAGGATGAGAATCAGCTCCTCTAAATCTGAGACCATGGTCTTGATTCAGAAAAGGGTAGAAAGACTTCTCCGGGTCAGGGATGAGGTCCTGCCTCAAATGGAGGAGTTTAAGTATCTCGGGGTCTTGTTCACGAGTGAGGGAAAACTGGAGCGTGAGATCAATAGACGAATTGGTGCTGCATCTGCAGTGATGAGGGCGTTGTACCGGTCTGTTGTGGTGAAGAGAGAGCTGAGTCAGAAGGTGAAACTCTCGATTTACCTGTCGATCTACGTTCCTACCCTCACCTATGGTCATGAGCTTTGGGTAGTGACCGAAAGAACGAGATCGCGGACACAAGCGGCCGAAATAATTTTCTCCGAAGAATGGCTGGGCTCTCCCTTAGAGATAGGGTGAGAAGCTCGGTCATTCTGGAGGGGCTCGGAGTAGACCCGCTGCTCCCCCACATCGAGAGGAGCCAGTTGAGGTGGCTCGGGCATCTGGTCAGGATGCCTCCTGGATGCCTCCCTGGTGAGATTTTCTGGGCACGGCCAACCGGGACGAGACCTAAAGGTAGACCCAGGACACGGTGGAGGAACTATGTCTCTCACCTGGCCAGGGAACGCCTTGGGATTCCCCCGGAGGAGCTGGCCCAAGTGGCTGGGGAGAGGGAAGTCTGGGCCTCTCGCCTTAGGCTACTGCCCCCGCGACTCGACTCCGGATGAGCGGATGAAAATGGATGGATGGATGGATGATTTAGTCAATCCATTACTCTCAGTTTTGATCTAATCTTAAATTAAAAGACAATTCCTATTGTTTCCCAGTAGTTATACAATATCTAATTTCTCATATGTCATTCAAGACACTTTATTTAGTATGTTTTTCTTGCAGGCTATGACCAAATCCCTCAAACGCGTTTGGCATGGAAACAGTTCATCTTTAATATTTTCTTTTATGCTGACAGCTTTTCTGTCATCAAGAGTGTTAGGGCAGAATTCAGTATCGGTGTTCAAAACCTCCTCAAACCACTGGAGAACCTGTGTGCACGAGACTAAATGTGTACCTGGGGAGAAAACATTGCAGAGAACCTTTGACAAATAAAAGGCAGGAGACAAAGGAGAAGGCTAAAAGGAGGGAAAGCATCACAGGGGCCAAGATGGAGGGGAAAACCATCAATGCTGTGTGCATTTAGAGGAACTGAGTGGGAAAGAAAGAAAGAGACGGAGCCATGGGAGAGAAGCAGGGAGCTCTGCTGAGAGAGGAGAGGCTTGAAAATCAAGAGAGGAAGTCTAAATGAGATTATCTGAAAGAAGTCGAAGAGAGGCATTTTGAGGAATAGACAAAGGGAAGAGTGGAAAGCTTTCTATGAACCAATCTACAATAAAAAACCAAAGCCTTGCCCATGCTGTGAATTCTGCTTTAGCAGATTTTCAGGTCTGCTTTGAAGCATGAACATCAATCTGCACTCGAGGGTTGAAATCCTCACCATCTTTTCTCTACATGCACATGAGACATTTAAGAAGAAAGTCTGAAAGACAACAAAAACGAGTTATAAATGTGGGAGTCATTCTGACCCGTCATTCACTCGCGTGCAGAACCGACGCAGTCCGGTTTCCGTGCAGCATCTGGATGGACTTTCATTAACATCAGCTTCAGTTCAGGAGCTGAACGTCTCTGAATATCTGTTCCCACAATGAAATTTGACATAATATGTTTAAAGATATACCTGTAACAATAACATGAACTATCATACACTGTGACCTGATGTCTCTGTCATTGATAATAAAACAAAAAACAGTAAAATAAAGTAACACGGGTTTTATTTTGAAATAAACGGGATGTCCTCACTGAAACATGTTTCACTTCTTGTTTGGCTCATGAAATTTCTTAAACTTCATGACTTCATCATGCAGCATCCGGGGGGGGGGGGGGGGGACGACAACTCCATACAGAATCCGGATCCACGCTTCACTGCAGCCAGTGTGAATGCTCTGATTGGGCTCAGTGAGTTTTGATGTAAGGAGAAGCCGTCCAGAAACCGGACTGCATCCGTTCCACATTCGATGAACGAGGCTTACACATTCGATGAACGAGGCTTAACTATGTTTTTGTTGTTGTTTTTGCAGCTTATGAGCTTTTTCTAGTCTGTGGCATAGCAAGGGAAAACAAAATGTTTAGTATATTTTCTAATAAAAGTAAGTATATGTAGTGTCTGTAATATTGGCATTGCTTTCAATTCCCATGATGCATTACTATCACACTGGGTTGGTGTGTCTAAATTGGGGGGCCCAATCCTGGTCCTCGAGATCCCCTATCCAGTCTTGGAAGTTTCCCTGTTTCAACACACCTGATTTGACTGGGGAGACTGTGCTTCACAGTGTTCTGCAGAGCCTGAGTAGATGTTGAACAGGGGATTTAGCCACTGAATCAGCATGGTGCGATATAAAACAAGCTGGATAGGGGATCTTGAGGACCAGGACTTGCACCCCTGGTCTAAACCATCTCTGTGTCTTATTGCAGTGTGTTCTACTAGTGCACTCTCACTATACATCTAATAGATGGAGAATGTGGGTGAGACGCTCCATCATCAACAGGAGAGCTCAAAGTTCAGCTGAGGCTCCCCCTCACCAAATACAGCTGGATGAGGTGGGTCTGCCATCTGAGTAGGATCCTTCCCTTGACTAACATGACTTTGAAGTAGAGAGGACTGTTATAGCTCTTTTCCATCGGGAGGTCTGGAACGGTCCGGTCTGGTTATTTTTGGACGGTATGTTCCGTATGGGTCTGGAATTTTCAGACGAGCGTTTTGATCGCAGTTTGGGCCATCACGTCAGCAGGCGGGGTTAAACGAACCATCATGCACGATTTTTAAAGTTGTGAAACAATTCAGTATGTCTGTGCTGCAATAACTGGTCTATAGAGCTAAAGACAAAAACAAAATGCTTACCACAGCCTCCACATGTGACTCCAGAGTGCAGTCTCTAAGTCCAGAAGCCTGCCTTGCTCCTTCGGCGATAAATAGCGTCCAGCGCATCGTAGCAACTCCGTGTATTTCTCCCATCTGAATAAAAATCCACTCCGGTTGTTTCTGTCCTTAACTATTAACTATATTGGGCTTTAATTTCTTCATCTTGGTCCGACACTGAGCCGACGTCTGCTCTGATCCTTCGGCTGCCATCCGCTGAGAAAAAAAACTACCGATCTTTCTAGCTCCTGTTAACAGTAATACAAATGTCCATAATGGCCTGTCATGGCCCTGTCTTGACCTGATGTTTTCTTGATGTTTTGACATGACCTGATGAAACCTGAAGTCCCCGTTGCTGATACTCACCCCTCCCTTTGGGCAATGTATTTCTGTCCAAAGTTCCTGTTTTGTGCTGAGACAGTAGCCGCTTCTTGCTCAAAACTGTTAGGAAAGCATATATTCAAATAAGATTGCTCAAATCGAAAATGTACCGACTTGTGACCCATCCCTGCTTTAACTTGTGACCCATCCTTGCTTGAACGAATAAATACAGCCATGACAAAGCCGAGAATCAGAACACTTTGAGCAGTGACTGAAGCAAGTCGGCTGACCTTGCATGAGTACTGACGTGTTCTCCCTCTGCAGCGGTGAATCATATCTTGACTGGTTTTTGACTCCAACATCAACTCAGAAGCAAACATCTTTTTCTCCAATCGTCCCGAACCTGTCTTGGTCGCTTTTCAGGACCAACACTCCTCCTGCAGACTCTCGCGATGAAGGTGAGAAATGTATGGAACTCTGAAGGTGACCAACACTTGCCGCTACTTGCTGCAATTTTTTCACTTTTATGTCCAGCTAACGAAAATACAAACAATGGAACTTTGTTTGTTTTCCTTGTTGCAAGTAGTGACGTATTTCTATCAACCAATCAGTGGACTGTGTTGTTGCTCCATCCTACCCGTACTGCTGCAGAAATTTCTGGACCTACAACAGAAGGGAACCCAAAACGTCCCGTGACTGGCGCGGTCCGGGTCGGTTGTTTGGACCGGTTTTATAATCGGAACAGAAAAATTAACGGCCCGATACTTCCCATTCCATGCCAGTTTGGGCGATGGAAAAGGCTTATTAACCACCTGCTGAATGGAATCAGGTGTGTTGAAGCAGGGAAACAACAAAATTATTTAACAGATTCCTCCCATGTTCTACACTCTTAATATGTTTTACTAAACTCACAGCGAAGGTACGGAATCTGTCCATGTAAACACAACCGGTACAAACATTAATTTCTCCTATTATCTGTTAAGGCTATCAATGAACAAAAGGCAGAGATAAACATGTCTGGTAGAACACACTATTGCCTGGGCAGGTAAACATCCATTTTGTCCAAAGTTTTGTATCCAGAGTGTGGTGATATTTGAACTTGTGTATTTTCTTTTTTAAGGACGATATTTTTTTAAGTACTCCCTTTCAGGCATTTAAGTACAAATGTTCATTATGTTAAATATGTACATTTTTTGGAGGAGATTTGTCACCTACATGGCAAATGGCACATGCCTGGAATAATAATAATAATAATAATAATAATAATGAAGTTTTTTAACTGTCTTTTAATGTCATTGTTATTAATCTGAGTATGTATTGTTTGTTTTTGTTCTGGATGAGTAAAGTATAGTGCAGTGAAACCCTTTCTGTCTAAAACCAAATGTCTCCCAAGGGAGACAAATATCCATCCATCCATCCATTGTCTGAACCCGCTTGTCCATGTAGGGTTGCGGGGGGGGGGCTGGAGCCGATCTCCAGCGGTCAACGGGCAATCAGGCGGGGTACACCCAGGACAGAGGGCCAGTTCATCGCAGGGCAACACAGAGACACACAGGACAAACAGTCATGCACACACACACACGCACACACACACACACACACACACACACACACACCTAAGGACAATTTTGGACAGACCAATCAACCTAATAGTCATGTTTTTGGATTGTGGGAGGAAGCCGGAGTACCCGGAGAGAACCCACGCATGCACTGGGAGAACATGCAAACTCCATGCAGAAAGATTCCAGGCTGGGAAGACAACCCATGACCTTCTTGCTGCAAGGCAACAGCTCTAACCACTGTGAAGCCGGGAGACAAATAAAGAACTTTAACTTAGACTTGACTCCAGGACCAGGATTGATCACCTGTTCTCTGGAGGTCTTCCAGGCAAGTCCCACAGGAGGGATTTTATACCCCACAGCATGTGCCAACGAGCTGGACAATGTTCTCACTACCACCCTCCTTTCCAAGAAAGCCCCATCCACCTTTAATAACTTAAGACCAATAGCACTCACCCTCAACGCAACTCAACTCAAACTTTACTTCTAAAGCGCCTCAGGCTGTACAGTCAGATATGCATTAGTAACAACAGGACAAGGATTAAAACAAGAATTAAAACAAATACTAAAAAAGAAATAAAAAGGCATGAAAACAGCATATAAAATGCACTAATAAAAGAAAGTGCAAGCAGACTAATGACCGGTCTTTAGTCTGACTGTAAAAACTGTCACCGATAGTGGCTTCCCTCACTTTCTCATAAGGCAGCTTTGGTCCTTTCGGTTACCTGACGTTCTAAAAATTATTGTAAGATTTGGACCCCCCCCCCCCCCCCCCCCACACACACACACACACACACACACACACACATACACACACACACATGCACACACACTGCTCATTTCAGGTGCCCCCCCCTCAAAACACATGCTCTTAGGTTGTTCTCTGTTGACTACATTTCTTCCTTAAACACGGACTTACCTCGTAAACTAACAAACACACTGTACACCTGGCCTGCACTCTACTCTCGGAGAGCGGCTCCTGGACTTTGTGACTTGCAGGATTGGTAACAGGATCATGGCCAGCAATGCCACAGACGTGTACCCCACAGGGATGTGTCCTCAGCCCCATTTTTTACACTCTGTTCTCCCACAACAGTGTCACCTCTCAGAAGGATAACATTATCTCTATACGTCATTTTATTTTTTTTATGTAAAACAAGCTGTTACAATTTGCTAAAATATGACAAGATTTTAGGAAATCATAGAGTTACACAAAACTTAATAATAATTTAGACTATTTTGATAGTATTTAAAGTATTTAAATAGAACTACTATTGCTGCTTTATAAGTTAAAGTAACCTTTATGAAATGTACCTTAAATGTAATAAATAATACGTAAAAACAAAGCCCAGTGTGTCACAAGGTGCAGGTGAGTTGACCCAGAGGTGAGGATCCATATGCTGGGGAGGAAGGCAGGCAAGCAGCCAGGAACAGTTTAACCAGGTTTTTAATATAAAACACGCTGGACATAAAGCAATGAAACGACAAGACAAAAAGGACTGACAGGGTTTACATACAGGAGGAGCTGGGACCTTGGGTGATTGGGAGACGAGAGGCTGGTGGGAGCAATCAGGAGACACAGGACTGAACAGAGAGGGGAGACAGGACAGGTGTGACACAGTGCGGAAAAAAAAAGAAAATTGCCAAGTAACATCAACGTCTTTCAGGAAATGGCCTGCGAGACACCCAGAAGTGTAAATGAGGAGAGTCAAAACATGACACAACACCCATTTTGGACTTCCTGTTAACATGAACAAATAATAATTTCTACAGGAATACAGTGTGGTCAAATGATCTTGTTATGAGATGATAGCTGAATGCTGTTTATTCACAATTGGAAACTTATCTTTGAGCCTCTTTAAAGCTTATGAAACTTTGTTGGTGGGCAAAATGCCCCAGAAGCCCTGATAAAGGGGCAAATATAACCTTGTAAAAACCCTACCATGAAGTGACTAAAAAACCGGTTTTCCCCGCCCACTCGACCAGGACACAGTAGTGACCACAAGCTATAGATTTTTGTGGCATTCAGTCGTAGTCCTGATATTCCCAGTACATCCTGTCAGTGGTGTTTAAACTCTATTCTCGGTTATTTACCTCTGGTCCAACAGGAACTTCAGCAGCTCAGGCCTGCCTTGTGTTAACAGCAGCTCGACCTAGCGCTGTTCTGCAGTTAGCATTACTGCAACCAGCGTTTATTTGTTAGTGAGAGTGAACTGGGATGGAACATGCAAATGTAGGTGTTATTAGTACAAGATTTTCTTAGAACCACGTGTCTCTCCCTCACCTTTTAAAGATGACTAATTTACATAGAAACAGGTCAGACACAGCGCTGACCTTTTGGTACGCTACATTTGACCACCCAAGCTGCCTTTAATCAACAACAACAATATACATGAGGGTTTACATTCTAGTGCCCCTTTAAAGTAAGAGTTGGGCTCACAGGATTCTGACTATTAAAAGTCCTCATGAGGACACAAGGCAAGTATGTGTGTGTGCAACGCGTGTTTGTAAAGGTCGCATCAATAGACATTTATGTGATATAATTGCACCTCATTAGTCACACAGATTGGCACCTTCCACTCCCCATCTATTTCCTTGCGTTGAGCGACCCCATAGGACGGCTGCCACTCAACAGAAAACCATTATCCAATCACAGCGTGGCATTTGTCACTAAGGGAAAAATAATGATAATCATAATCCTTGGGATCTCCCTGATAACTCATTTATTTCAGTTAAAAGCCAAATTACAGTGCTTAAATGCAGCGGAGGCCACTGTGGCACTCAAGGCAGAGCGTCGGAGAGGGCTGAGCGACGTGTGGCGTCTTCATTAACTGTGTGAGGGGGAACCAAAGACTCCACACGCAATTAATGCAACATCACAGTGCCCGTGCTTATCACTGGCCCCCATAGTAACACACACTCATACACAGTTATAGTGGGTTGAATACACACAACGGTGCACTGCTCATTACTTGTGTGCAGGCCTGGTCTCCGTGGTGGAGGTGATGTGATGGGGCTGAGGGAGCAGAATTGCAGTTGTCAGACACACACAGCCACAGAACCCGCTACTAAGGATCAGGATGGGGGAACCCTCTGATTTACTTCGTTTTATCTTGAGCTAAGACGCACACACACTTGCTTTCTCCATCTGCCTGTCTCTCTGCCTTTCCCACATGCACACACAAGCAATGGACTCGTATCTTGATTAGGCGGCTTAGGTGGTCCCGGGAAAATACACTCATCTCTGTCTGTGCCCCTACCTCCCCCCTCTCTGGCATGTTGTTATCTCCAGGGTCCAAATGTTTGGAGATATCTTCACACACACCTGATGGCAAACAGCCTCAGTCATCTCCCCGTTCTGTCTTTCTTCTAACGGGCTCCTGCAGCCTTGACCGGACCCACAGCCTGTTTACAAAGGGTTGGCCCTGACATCTATTTAGCCTAGTTTGTCAAAAGGAACAAAGAGACAGGTGTATGCAAAGGTTGTGAGGTTTAGTTTTCCTAAATCCTTCTGTGGAAAATTGGATTCCTGAGCAGCCATGAAACTTCATTTACATTTGGGTAAAATGTGATTGTATTCATTACTTTTTGTGACATGTTGATATTTAAAACAAGTTTCTTTTTTCTAATAATTACTCCTTCCTTGTGGGTGGATTAGGCATTTTAATAATTTTTTAATGGAAAAAAATCTGTAATTTTTTCCACTCAGTTTTAACCAACAAAATATACTTGTGCAAAATGTATAAAGTGAGTAGATAAAGTGCTTTGGAGCTGTTGTTTAGAGCATCATAAAACTGTCCTTTATTTATATTGGAAAATGCTGCTAGCAACAAGTGGAAAAAATCTTCAAAATGTATTATTATTATTAGTAGTAGTAGTAATAGTGTTAAGATACCTGCTTTTCTGTTATTACTTTTCTAAGCGATCTGATTTACCATGGCAAAATTATTAGCAAAACACATGAAAAATGTTCTCATGTGCACGGGTGTGTGCGTGTCTCAATCTGCGTAGCCAGTTAAAACTCCCACATGTGTGTGCAGCCACTTCCTCTTCACCGGAGAAAAATTATCTGTCGATTAGGAGCATGCACTCCCACAAATGTTACATCAGAACGACCGGCTCGGCCGTGGTAAGAGTGGTATGTCATGATTTTGGGGTGATCACTGCAACAATACCCAAGTATCATCATCACTGTTGGGTTTTCAACCCAGTGTCACCCAGATATCATGATTTTGGACCTCTGTCATGGCCTCTCTCTTGTGCCAGCGAGCAGTCCCCTTTTTAAATTTCTTCATTCATTCTGAACTTACTTCAACTAATAATTATAATTATTATTATTATTGTTGTTATTATTATTAGAGAAAAGCAAAAGAAAATGAACCAACCAAAACTTTACTTGTTGCCATTTATGGATGAGTGAGTTCCAGACTTTTCAGCTTTTGATCCACAAAAAAAGAAATAAAAATAAATATTTAAACAAATAAATAGAATTAATAAAATTTCATATAGAATGAAAATGTGAACAGCTGTAAATAGTTTCAATATGTCTAGTTATGGCCGTCATTTCTATTTATTGTGCTGGTTCTAATCAAAATGTGGTGCTAGGAGTTACTTTTCCATTTTTTATTTGAACTCTCTAGAGCATCTGAATCCATCCCATTTTGATTCATGGTGGATGTGCTGAAGCAGAGAAGTATCTAGAGCCTCCATGGTAGAAGACCTGAAGGACCAGGACTGGACTCTGCTGCGAGTAAAAGGTGCAAAAAATCCCAATTCACGGTTCACCATCCGCTCAGCCATCTGGTTTTCATCAGTAGCCGTTTGTAAGGGTGTGTCAGATCCCTGCATGGTTGACCCAGGAGTCTGTGACCATGTGGACTGTGCACTCCAACGACACGTATCTGATGACAGAACTCCTATTGAAAAGGTGGCGGCAGGCACATAGCAGACAAAGACAACTGCAAGTCACATCATGAGCAGAGGAAGAAAAAACACAAGGACATATTATGAGGAAACACTGTGAGATAAGATTGATGTTACCAGCATTTGGACAATTTATCATCCAGGACACGTCAGATCCATGTTTGCCTGTGTTGTAAGATGAGAAGATGTACCTTCTTGTTAGTTCATCACTTCATATGTGTCATGTCGAAATGAAGAAATTCCCCTCTAAAATCTGCAAACCTGTAACCATAAAAGTGATTGTGAGGTCAAATCAAATCTGCCATTTTACTCTATCCTGAAGATTGACCATGAACAGAGGTCTGAACGGTCTGTTTCTATGGAGAAGTTGAGGGGGAATGCTTACATAAATGTCTGATTTAGATGTAACCCTGAGAGGTTCTGTCAATTATGAAGTTTTACATTTACAACTATTTAAGTCAAGGAAGTACTTTTATCATTGTTTTTGGATCTTTCTAAACAGCAATAGAGCTCATCCACCTTTGTAAAGCTGGTGGCATGCTCGAAGTGACTTGTAGTCCCTACAAAACCTTATGAAGTCGAAACTGAGGTCCAGGTACATAGGGCTAATCTTCCACACATACAGGGGTTTCACATCTGGTACTGCTCGGCCCGGCCCACATTGCATATATTGTTTTCATACCTGGGTGGCTTGGTACAGTTCCCTCTCCCAACGGGCAGTTTCTCAGTCCTTATCCTCTTGTGGTCCTCTCGGGGCTGGTCCGGGCCAACACACCCACTATGACTGACTCAAATACATGCCATTATGGGGAGCCTCCGATTGGTGGATAGACTCAACCAGCAGGGGCTTCCCACATGGACGATTCATCATCCTTCTGGATGCTGAGACATAAATGTCGCCTTTGACTGAAGTTGTAGCAGCTCTCTGTCTCTTTCTCACTGCTTTGAGGGGCACACACACACACACCTTCATGGTCGCCTTTGATGAAAGGAGACACCACAGACTATTCTACACATATTTTGCCCCGCCCACATGCTTTCCCCATTCCTGAGAAGTGTGTGTGAACAAACCCTACCGGTGCTGAAGCCGGACCGACGCCACCCAGCCCGGTCCATGCTAGCCCAGATAGGAAACTGCCAAAGAGACCCCAAGGGTATCGGGTTAAATTCCTTTGAATTTGGCTAAATGTGTGAGTCGTTCTAACTGCATTAGTTTTCTTCATATCTAAACCTCACATCTACTGCAGTAAACGCACAAAAATCTCCAGATGTAAATGGTTACTTCTTACTGACAGAAAAACAACATGGCCAAACAGTACTCATGATAATGCAAGCCACAACAGCGAACTGCCAAACAAAATGGTGGCGTAGCCAAGATAACATGACTAAACTATCTCTTTGTACCAGTGTTTCTCAACCATTTTCAGCTGAACACCCCCCTAAGCCTGGTTGAAGTGCATTGCTGCTCCCGGATGCTGGTACGGTACCCTTATGTGGTCCGATGGCCCCCTGGGGGACCCCTACAGCCCCTGCTGACTACCATTGGTACCAAAAGCTGGGTTGGGATCCTGCACGTCCCTTCTTTACTCTGAAGTCCAACACCCTCTCCACTGACACCTCTGATAGAGCCTCTCTAGCATTCTTCCCTCCAAGTAGATCATTAGCCTTAGACATAACTGCATTGTGGCATGCCCATTTGGACCAAATCATTAGCCAATGCATGCACCTAAAAACTGTGAGTTGCGAGTGTGTCAGGTGGACGTCTCGGCGTTAGCTACAGAAATCCAATTGACTTAAAAAATGATTGCCATGGATGTTTTTACATGAAGATCAAATATGTTGCTATAAAAGTATGAAAGACGATTTAATCCGCACAAAAAAAGTATGCATAAATGTTTTTTCAACAACACTTCATCCAGAGGTACCTGGCATCTCCAGTCAGACTTTTATTTGGTGAAAGCTGAAAACTTTGGAAGTTGAGATGAAGGTGAAGATATGAAGTGAGGATGTTGAAGAAAACGATATGAAGAGTAAACATGTTGTAGATCGTTCTTCACACAGCTTCAGTTTGGAGACAGGTACTAGTTCTGATCCGACAGACGAGCTCGTCTGACTGGAACCAGTTGCCTCGTGCTTCTGCTGGATTCAAAGAAACCTGAACTAAAAATTTCATAGAAGTTTGTGTGAATGTCATGTAATAATTTTTCCATCATGATCATTTTACACAAAATGCTGTGGTAATTTAAAGGACATTGGTTTTGAAACTAGCTGCTTAAATTCTGTAATAATTCCACAAGAATAACTACAGAATATCAAATATGTGCCAGCACGACAATGAAAAACCTAATTTACCAAAATAATCTATAAAATCTTTTGAGGCACTTTGTTCCTAGCCCCACTGTAACAGAGAAAACGATGCAGAGGTCTTTGAGAATGGCCTTGCAGGGATCACTTATTTTTGGTACTGTAATCCAGAGGTGGCCATCAAAACAAAATGACAGCTGCTACAATAGATTAAACTTTCTCTTTCCATCTCAGATTTCTTTGATTTATTTTGTTAATCTCTTCCTTTTAACACATCACCTGACAAATGCGGCACAAGCGCTATACCAGCACAACTACAGGTATTCAGAGCACAAAGACCATTTCAAGCCAAAAGGGTGTTAGTATACACAGGTTGGTATTTCACAGAACTGAAGAGTTGACTTTAATTTCCAGCTTTAATCCTCTCCGTACATAGCAACAGCTGCATCTCCGTGTGACAGTAAGTAAACCATGGCTCAGGACGTTTTTGCAGTGAACCAGCAGCAACAAGAGTAAGAGATGATTGACTTTAAAATACAACACATTCCCTGTTTCTATCTCTCTCACACACTCACGAACACGCACCTCCTGCTCGGATCTGGTTCAGTGGGGTCTGTTCAACAAGTAATGACTCTGCTATGTGCTTTTTATTTTCCTTTCTCCCGTACAGTTGACATGCTCCACTGCTCGTTGTGTGCATGCATTCGCTCTTCTCAAACGCACAATAACCCACGATGTGGTGTGATCAGTGACTGTAGACGAAACTATTGCAGACGTGTTTCAAAATGAGTTTGAGGAGGAGCTGTTCAATTTCTCAACTGACTGGCTGTTGAAAGGCTGAGCTGCTTATGTAAACACGCAACTGCGTGCAAAGGCACTATCACTTGTATATGCAGGCTCCAGCATTCAAACACACATATAAACACATAAACTTGAAGCATATTAACTCTTTAACAGCCCGGTTAAGCAGCACTGAAGTTCACTGCAGAAAGTACTAAAGAAAAAATGGTTTGAACACAAAGCTGCTCGAATAAAAAGTTACAGGTTATAATATAACATTGTTATTATCTTAAAATATAGTATTATTTTTACATTATTTTTAATTTACACTTTTTTATAATGGTCTTTGCTTTCAAACCCAAATATATATATATATATATATATATATATATATATATATATATACACACACACACATATATATATATATATACATATATATATATATATATATATATATATATATATATATATATATATATAGATATATATATATATATATATATATATATATATATATGTGTGTGTGTGTGTGGAAGTTAAAAAGTTTAGCAACTGATAAAAAGGTTTTTTCACACACATGGACGTACAACGCTGTGGAAAAAGGTATTTACATTTATATCTGTTGTTGCTTCATTCACTTCAAAGTTTCAGATCAGCAAATACATTTCAACACCAGACAAAAATGAACTGAGTAAATACAAAATGCACTTTTCAAGTAATGGTTTCATTTATAAAGCAAACAAAGGCTATCACAACTTGTCCCTTTGTGGAAAACTAATCACCATTCTTGTTAAACCGTGAAATAACCGTGATTAACGACATTGTTTGTGAATCAGCTCCACTAGCCACACCCAGACCTGGTCATCACCAGAGTTGCTGAATTAAATATAACATAAAGAGCTAAATGCTAAAGAGATGCTAAAGACATTCAAAGACAAAATCATCCATAACATCTAAACATCCTGCATTCTTGCTTTGTTAGAGGTCATGACTCAGCAATGACAAAGAGATGAGGGACAAAACAGGGTTTGAATAATGTGGGGGGGGGGGGGGGGAGCGAAGGGGAGCCCATCCATCCCCCGCTCTTATGGGGGATCTGAGCCCCCCCCCCCCCCCAAAAAAAAGGCCTGCGAGTAATTCAAACCCTGGGGACAAAATGGTTCCAGGACCAAAATCAATAAGAACCCTAACCCTCACCTCACCCAAAAACTTAATGATGGTCCTCCACAGAACATTTTCTGTGGTTTGATGCAAGAGAGGAATTTTCTGGAAGGTGTCTCCCGTAACATCTGGTATAGAACTAACCTTAACGGTGAGACATGGAGGTGGTAGAATGATGGTCTGGGACTGCTCTGCTGATTCAGGACCACTTGTTTTAACTGATGGGACCGTTTAGCAGAAGATCCTGAAGGAGAACATCTGACCTTTGCCCTGAAACAGACGGTTCATGCTAGATGTGGGAAGAGTGGGACAAAAATCCTCCACAGCGATTCCATTAATTTGTTCCTGTCAAGAGTTTTACTACTTATGAAGCCGGTTTTGGTATCCCAGTGGGTTTAGATATGAAATCCTCATTGGGAAACTTCTCATTGTATTTACTTGGGTTATATTTATCTGATACTGGAATTTGTTTACACATTTAAGAGGCAAAAACATCTAGAAGAAATTAGTGAGGGAGGAAAAAAAATCTTTCCCAACCTTGGTTATAACACATTGTGGGCCTACGGTGCTGGGGCATTCAATAATTGAAAACAGGGCTAATAATCCAAGAGAATGACAACCCTGAAAGATTATGTGAACTCAAACATTAACACAAATAATTGTGTGAGCACTGGGGTATGTTGCAACATTAGACTCTGTCTTAATGGGCCCCCAGCACGAACGCAGAGGAACGTGTGCGAGAGGGAATGCATGCATGACAGCTCACATCACCATGGTGCGATGAGGAGAAGCCAGAAGTGAAGCAAAAGCTGTTTTTAGAGTGCCAAATGCTGCTAATCAGAAAAAAATACTGTTATTTTACAGTATTATCGGTTTGATTACCGAAGCAGAAACCCAGCCAGACCTCGCTTAAATCCTGTGACAGGAAAAGCACAGCGATAACAAACGCTCTTATTTTTTTATAGCAGTGATCCGCTTGTTAAAGACAGACGCTTTATCAGACAGTGAGCAAATGATTCAATTGTCTCCTGGTGATTCCATGCCTTAGCAACAGCCGCCGGGTCGGCGTGGCGACGGCCCAGTTCTGATTTATCTGGCGAGCTGCACTCAGGTGCTGTTTTGTTAACAGGATTGCAGCCATTTATAACTGTGTTTCATTACAGTACTAAGAGCCGATAAGATGATCACTCACACACACACGCACAGATTTGCACACACAGAGGCGCTAATTCAATCCGCTGACAGGGAAACACGGCAAACAACATCCATTATGGCCTCAGAGCTAATTGGTTATGTGGGGGGTGGAGGCGGTGGGGGGTGGAGGCAGGCCAGGGAAACGGTGCTGAAGCCTGAATTTGGTGGGGGATGTTTAAAATGAGGTGCACCACTGCAGAATATTTTCCCAATTTTTCACCACCCATTGCTTGCAATTATTCATCACATTTATCTCTCCCACTCTTACTCCACACCTAGAAACAGGACGCAGCCTTTTGCAAGCTCAACATGCAGCTATTAATCCCCTCCTCCAGTCTCCTCCTCTTCTTTTTTGTATTTTTCCTTCCTGCCCTGGGCTGAAGTAGGAATACAAATACCTGCCAATAACGCAAATGCACCCATCTGACCAGCAGTAAGCAGTAAGCCCAAAACAAAGATAGCATCTTGGCCCCAGGTGGCATCAAACCATTGGTGACATTTAATAATTTCCCCTCTCAAGCTAACCTCCACCCCCACCTCCTCGATCACCTGACTCACTATTACTATTAAAGATAAATCTTATCCTGTGCACAGAAGAAACCAGGAGGGAGAGACCTGGTGGTGATGAATCACCTTCATTCATGCAAAGACCCGATCTTTTAGGATTCCTGGCTTTGGCTCTGTTTATTTACCCCGTCCATCACACCACATCAGCAACAGAGTGACGGTGGATGAATGGCTGGAGAGGCAGGCAGATCGTCAGACAGATGGAGTTGCAGAGAGAAATGAATAATGTCAGTGGAGGTGTTTAAGGAGAGATGGG